TGCGTTTGAACGAGCGTTCGCGTTCAAATGTGCGTTTGAACGCGCGTTCGCGTTCAAATGTGCGTTTGAACGCGGATTGCGCGTTCGCGTTCAAAATTGAACGGCGTTCAGTTTTTTATATTTTTTTCAAAAAATATTTTCGATGCCTAAAGATTTTTTTTTTTCCTGATTGTTTTTTTGTGAGTCCTATATGATGTGGGCTACATGTCTGTAAATTTTGGATTCATTTTGCCAAGGGAAATAAAAATTAAAAATCGCCAAAGATGGTGGTGTCAAATCATGTTCGCCCACTAATTTCAATTCTTTTTTTACTTTTTTCTATTTTCTGTTCTCTATTGTTTTTTTGAATGTGATAGCGAATTTGGATGTGATTCTCAGGCAAAAGTTGTTTATTTTATTATTTTACATAACATATTTTGTTTTTCGAAATTTTTAGAGAACTTTTTTTTTTTTTTTTTTTTCCTGCGCGGAATTGAACTCCGCGTTCGGTCGCGGTCACTAAACGTGCGTTCATTCCGTTCAATTTCTGAACGGAAAACCCGCGTTCAATGAACGCGCGGTAACATAGGCATCGGCTCCAGTGGGAGCACGACCACTCGAAGGCGGAGGCGGAGGTGGAGGGGGATGCTGCGCAGCGGCTCCAGTGGGAGCACGACCACTCGAAGGCGGAGGCGGAGGTGGAGGTGGATGCTGTGCAGCGGCTGCAGTGGAAGGACGCACACTCGGGGAGGGGGTGTACGGGGAGGAGGATGCTGCGCAGCTGATGCAGTGGAAGGACGTGCACTCGGGGGCGGGGGTGGAGGGGGAGGAGGATGCTGCGCAGCGGATGCAGTGGAAGCACGCGTCCGAGGACGCAACATCTTGGCGCTAGGATCATCGTCGCCACCATCATCAAAATCTCCGGGCTTAGACTCCACTGCCAGGTCGTCTGGATCGGACCACAGCTCCGCCTCCATTGGGTCCTGAGCCATAGGATCCGGCTCGGGATCGTACACGGCGTCCAACTCAGTCGGCATGAGCACCGTGGCGCGACGACCGAAATATGTCTCGACGCTGGGCGGAGCCCTGGAAAGGCGGTCCTTCCGCCCGCGCTGCACCTGCCGCTCGCGCTGCGCCTCCATGACTCGATCAGCTGGCCGAACACCCTCGTCACGAGGCGGAGGAATGCTATCCTTTATCTCCTCCTCAGCGTCCTCCCATGGTAGAACGTACCCTGAACCCCTCCCCTGACAACGACTCAATCTCAAGTTGGTGGATATCTCCACCAAACGAGCCAGCTTGATAAAACCAAGCTGGTTACGCTTCTTCACCTGAACACACTCATGGACGGCCCACTTCCTCTCCGCTGGAGAGGCGCACGTCCATGCGTGTGTCAGGCGAATGGTGTAAGTCTGAAGGAGAGGGACCTCGTCCCCGTGCTTTACCCACCACTGCCCCACCTGCGACGTCTCCTTCTCCCCTCTGCAGGAGGCCGCGTCCCTGTCACCCTCAACCCCTCCGTACGTCCAATCGCCCTCCCGGCTAAGAAACTCAGCCAACTGCGTGCGCAGTGTCTGATACAAGTCCTCATCTCCCCCAGTCTGCTGGTGAAGGTATCGAAGTGACTCCTCCGCGAGTGTCTTGTCGTGCTCGTTGCGCCTCGCCGCTCCAAAATACGTAATGCTCATGTGGCGAGGGTTGAGGAGGTGGGCGATGCAATGTGTGGGCTCCAACATATGATTGACCCGCGCGTGACAAGCCTGAACAACGATGTTGAGCTCCTCCCTCGACATCCTGTTCAGTCTCGCCCTCGCCACCCTGTCGATCATGGCAAGCGCCCACGACCACATGCGAGTCATCACGCGCCCCCCTCTGTCCAGACGGCGTAACAGCTGCATCACAGGCGTCATGAGCTCCACGATGTCCTCCACGTGCTCCCAAAATGGCGCGTACCGCACCTGATGACGCACCCACCTAGCCTGCAAGAAAATGGACCTTCTCCATGCAGTCCGCAACCAGTCGTCGCTCATCGTCAATGCCTCCAACGCTCGGCGACGATCCAACAACCTCTCCAGCATCAAGTAGTGGGTAGCAAACCTCGTCTGTGCGGGGTACACAAGCTCTCTGCCTCGCCGCTGAGACGAGGGTGGCGCAGCGCTGGAACTGGCCGCAACTGCGGAGGCGGAAGAGGGGTAGGCGGCAGAGAACCGTCGGTAAAGGCTGAGAGCCGCCCCGTGCTCTCTGATGAACCACACGACTGCTCGAGCCCTGATGATGGTGTCCTCCCTCTTCCCAAGCTTCCCGGGGCTGCCGTCCTTCGCAATGTCTGACAACAACAAGTTGCAGACATGCACCGCACACGGAAGCCAAGTAATGCGACTGTACTTGACCTCCTCCTTCGCCAGGACTCCTTCGCCAGGAGCTTGGATGCAGCCACATATGCGGACGCAGAATCCGTGCAAATGGCGTAAACGTTTTCGACACCGAAGTTGTCGAACACGTCCTTCCATCACTCCACCACCACCTCGGCTGTCTCTTGGACAGCACCGTCGCGCTGCACAGTCCTGAAAAGGTAGGCTCCCGTGGGCCCAGCGGCAAGGAAGTTGACGATCTGGTCGCTAGTGATGGACTTGCGACCATCCGTGAGGATGGTCGCTCCCGTCACCGCAATGTCCTTCCGGACGACCACCACCATCTCCGCCACAACTCGCTGCTGCTGTGGAATACCGTCGCCGGAAATGAGACGGTGCGTGGGCAACGCAGGATATGTATACGGCGGACACTGGAGCAACCGTTTCCTCACTCCCTGGTACTCCGGCCTCCTCGCCGCCTCGAATGGAATCCCGCTCACGTACCACCACTGCAAGAACTCGTTCGTAAAATCCCGTTGCCACGCCGGATCGAATGGAATCCCGCTCAGGTACCACCACTGCAAGAACTTGTTCGTAAAATCTCGTTGCCACGCCGGATCGAACGTCTCTGTCATGGAAGTCTGTCGAAGGACTTTGCCCTTCTTAGGCAGAGGAGGAGCTGGTGTCGTTGCCTTCCTCTTTCTCTTCCTCGACTGCACGACGTCCTTCATCACTTTAGCAGCCCCCTCTTGGCCTCAACGGCCAGCGGCCATCAGACCCCCATCAAGAGACGCCCCAAGGTCTGCACCCTGATCGTCGTCGTCATCGTCGTCGTCGTCGTGCTCGTCTGGGGTGCTGTCCTCGGCAACGGCCTTGTCCCTCCTCATCTTTCCCCTGGCGCGCTCCACCTCTCGCCTCACGTCCATGTCATGTGAATCACTGTCACTCTCATCACCTCGCCCCTCGGCCGCCCTCCTCTCCTGCTCGTTGTCGTCAGACTCCTCCCCCGCCTGCTCCCTCCCTGAAGTATTTCTATTGTCTTGAAACCCACGAGACCTCAGGAAGTCGATGATCTTCCGATTGTGGCTCTGATCGAACGGGTAGTTTGTCTTGTTCCAGATCTCCACGAGCTGCTCCGCGGTAACTTTAGCGCAGTTGTTCTTTATTGTGAAGTGTTGTGCGGCCTTCGATTGACTGCCCTGAAAACCCCGGCCGCACAACTTGCACTCCATGAGAAAATTCCCA